GCAGACAGGAGGACGACGAGGATTTACAGAGTTTATCTCCTGCAGCTTTTATCAGGAGGACTTCAGGAGGAGGCCGGGCATCGAACTACCGACACCAGAGGCAAAACGGCACCGCGGAGGAGGAGCGCGTCTTTGTACACAAAACAACAAACGGAGCCGTTCATACGACGTGCTACCTGCGACGTGCTTCATGCGACGTGCTTCATGCCACGTGCTTCATGCGACGTGCTTCATGCGGCGTGCTTCATGCCACGTGCTTCATGCCACGTGCTTCATGCCACGTGCGCGCTTCATGCCACGTGCTTCATGCGACGTGCTTCATGCGACGTGCTTCCTGCGACGTGCTTCATGCGACGTGCTTCATGCCACGTGCTTCATGCGACGTGCTTCATGCGGCGTGCTTCATGCCACGTGCTTCATGCCACGTGCTTCATGCCACGTGCGCGCTTCATGCCACGTGCTTCATGCGACGTGCTTCATGCGACGTGCTTCATGCGACGTGCTTCATGCGACGTGCTTCATGCGACGTGCTTCATGCGACGTGCTTCATGCGACGTGCTTCATGCGACGTGCTTCATGCGACGTGCTTCATGCGACGTGCTTCATGCGACGTGCTTCATGCGACGTGCTTCATGCGACGTGCTGCATGCGACGTGCTGCATGCGACGTGCTTCATGCGACGTGCTTCATGCGACGTGCTTCATGCGACGTGCTTCATGCGACGTGCTTCATGCGACGTGCTGCATGCGACGTGCTGCATGCGACGTGCTGCATGCGACGTGCTGCATGCGACGTGCTGCATGCGACGTGCTTCCAGTTCAGTAGAAGAGCTCCTTATTATCATGAAAATTATGATAGTTATTTTAGCTAAATCTAAATTATTAGCTTCTGCTAAAACACAAAGAAAGAAAAAGAACAAAGAAAGCGTTCCTGAAAACATGAGTTTATGACCCCCCCCCCCTCAGCGTGGGGGGGGGGGGGTCTGGGTGCTCTCAGTTGGACGACCAGCAGGAGATAAGGACTTTATCTCGCTGTGTGACCAGACTGCAGACTCCTTTCTCCTCATTCCACCCCCCCCGTCCCCCTATCTGCCGTCCTCCTCGGGGACACTGACAGCTCGGGCCAGTTCCTCCTCGGGATTGAAGACGAGGAGAGGAGCCCACCAAAATAAGAGCACGGGATGGAAGACAATAAGGGCAGAAAGTTTAAAAAAAAAAGGAGGGAAGGGGAGAAAAAAAGAAGAAGTATTTCTCTGCTAGATGAGGGGCAGTAAAAAAAGAGGGAGGCAGGGGAGTAAAGGGGGGGAGGGGGGGGGGGCGTTCCCGTTGGCTCGGGCCTTGATTAACACCAGGCCTCCTGACAGGAAATGACCCGGCCGGCTCGGAGCGCCAGGAGAGCTTCCATCTGGTGCAGAGGCCGCGGAGGACTCCTCCACCCAAAGGAGCTCGGGTGGAGGAGCTCGGGAGGAGGAGCGGGATGTTTCACGTCTGCGTTGGTTGTATGCGGGACGCGGAGCCATGTTGTTGTTGTTGTTTGTTTGGGAGGGAGGGAACACCTCACAGGGTTTGGGGAGGAAAGCGGGGACGTTAGGACAGGACATCTGAGGACTGGAATCTCAACTGTAAACAAGTTGTTCCGTAGCAGCAGATAAAATCCTTGAGCTCAGTCGCGTCTTTAAGGCTCAGAACGAGTTTCTACGACGATAAAACCAGAACACATTTGTCTGTGTGGGGGGGGGCATTGCTCACTGACGCTTAATTACTAATTCACATATCGGGAAAATCACCAGCTGAAACATGTCGACCAAGCGGCTCAGAAACTCCTGCTGTTCTTAACTTTCACAATAAAAGCCCTGCACATTCTCTCCGTATGAAGACGTATTTGTGACGCAGACATTTGGTCCTTTTCAAGTCTTTTATATCTATACGGAACCTTGATGTAATATCTGATGATTTTTAAATAAAAGTTGTTATTGCTCAAGCCGGAGGACACGAGGACATTCCCCGCAGAGGACGAGCGTCTTGGCTTCACTCCTCCGTCAAAAGGTCGCGCGCTGACCTCCGCCTGCACCGCCGCGTGTGCAGAGGCCAAAGGGGGCCGCAGTCTCAAGTTTGAGTCCCTTCGGAGCCTCTGTGAGCGTGTGTGTGTGTGAGCGTGTGTGTGTGTGTGTGTGTGTGTGTGAGCGTGTGTGTGTGTGAGCGTGTCTGTGTGTGTGTGTGTGTGTCTTCACTCTGCTGAGCGGCTCGGTGGGATCGGTGACAGATTCCCAGTGGAGACGTACGAGCTTACGAGTCTTTATGATGTGCATTTCCTGTCATAAATAAGACGCAGAGGAACTCCGGGAGCGCTGACGCGCTCCATAAACGTAACAGAGGACACTCCAAAAGGTACCTGGGGACCAGTACTACGCAGTACCACTCCTAACTACAGAGTACTGCACAGTACTACTCCTAACTACAGAGTACTACACAGTACTACTCCTAACTGCACAGTACTACAC